TGATCAATACTCCATAATGAAGCTGTCATGGCAACAGACAGAATAATATCAAAATCAAATGACTGATCAATAAAAATCTGGCAAATGAATGAGCATATTTCCATTATATATGGTGATTAGAGATCACTGGTGACTCTGGAGAGAGACATTTCAGTTGGATGAGGTCAGAAGTCAGACTGTAGAAACTTAAAAAGGGAGTGAGAGGAAATGAAAAGCAAGCACCAATTACAGACAGTCCCTCTACTCAATCCTTATCCTTCTTGACGTCTCTGCACTGTCAATCTGCACTCTGCACTCTGACACTGTCAATCATCCTCTCCTTGATACTCTCTTTTCTTAAGGTTTTCGTAATAATGCTCTCTTGGTTTTCTTCCTACCTATCTAACCACTCCCTCTTAGTCTCCTTTTCTGCATCTTCATCTACATCACTCCTGATACACACATGTGTGCCCCCAAAGCTCCATCCTGGACCCTCTTCTCTTCTCTCTCCATTTTATTTCTCTTGATTTCATCAGCTCCCATGGTTTCAATTATCATCTCTAATCAGATCTATTTGTCTAGCCCTAACCTCTCTCCCAACCTCCAATCTCATATGTACAACTGCCTATCTAGAATTAGATGTCCCAAAGACCCCTTAAATTCAATATGACCAAAACAGAACTCATTATCTTTCCTTTCAAATATACCCCTCTTCCAAACTTCTCTATTCCTGCCAAGAGCACCACCATCCTCCCAGTCACCAAGGCTCACAAACAGTGTCATCATCAACCCCTCACTCACATCATTACACGTACCTAATCTGCTGCAGTCTGGTAACATCTGTTGTATATGTTTCCTTGTCTCCTCGGACGCTGCCACAATCCTAGTACAAGCCCTCATCATCTCACATCTGGACTACTGAAATAACCTAACTGGTCTCTTTGCCTGAAGTCTTTCCCCATACCAGCACATCTTCCACTGAGCTATGAAAATGATCTTCCTAATGCACAAATCTGACTATTTCACTCCCCTACTGAATGAACTACAGTGGATTAAATATAAAATGCTCTGTTTGGAATTTTAAACCCTTCACTATCTTGCCCCTTCATATATTTCTTGTCTTCTTACACTTTACTATCCTCCATGTACTTTATGATCCAGCAACATGCACCTCCTTCTGCTCTCTGTCTTGTCACTAGCTATCCCCCACACACCTAAAATGCCTTCCCTCCTAAGCTCTGCCTACTGCCTCTCTTATATACTTCAAGACTCAGCTCGAATCCCACCTTTTGTAGACCTTTCCTAATCTTCCCCCTCCCCCCAATCACCTCACCCATTTCTTTTCACCTCCTCCCATATCAAATCAGTCATCAAGTCCTGTCATTTCCACCTTCTATGACATCTCTCGCATACCACCCCGCTTCTCTTCTCTGACATGGCCACCACCCTGTTGCAAGCCTTCATCACCTCAAACTTGGACTACTGCAATAGTCTCCTGGCTGGTTTTGCTGACTCAAATTTTTCTTCACTCCAGTCCATCTTCCATTTAGTTGTCAAACTGAACTTCTTAAAGGTCTGAACCATGTTGCCACCCCCTATTCAATCAAGTCCAATGATATCTCATCACCTTTAGGAACAAATATAAAATCCTCTTTGGATTTCAAAGCCCTTCATTACATTGCCACTTCCTACCTTTCCAGTCTTCTTATACCTGACTTCCCCTCCCATACTCTGTGATCAGTGACATTGGCTCGTTTCTCACACTAGACATTCCATCTCTTGATCTGGAGCATTTTTCACTAGCTGGTCCTCAAGCCCAAAGCACTCCTCCCCTCTCAAGTCTCAGCTAAAGTCCTACCTTCCGCAAGAAGCCTTGTCTAGTTCTTCTCAATCTTTGTGCCTTCCCTCTGAGACCACCTGAACGTACGCTGTATGATGCTTCTTGCTTATACATAGCAGCTTCCATGTTGTCTGCCCCATAAGACTGTAAGATTCTTGAGAATGGGGACTGTTTATTGCCTTCCTTTGCATCCAGTGTGTGGCACATACTAGGGCTTCACAAATACTAGCTGACTGTACATATGGAAAATCCCTCTTCAATCTGAATTCTGCACTGGATCTTCCTATACAGTGTCTGCCCACAAGTACCATTAAGGTACTAATATTGCTCTATTAAATGAAGAGTTTTGTTATGGTCAATAAACGACAATTACAGTAAATCTTTTAAGCCTTCTTCTTTTACCCTGTGTGCCAGTTCCTTTTCCATATTTTCATCAAGAATTCCCTTGCATAAATTATTCCCATCAAAATTTTGGAGAGACAACAAAGTAGGATACAGGTTCAACAATTATTGAGTGTTTTCTCAGTAACACCAATATATTATAATGTCCTTTCAGAGGAAGTCAGGTGGCACAGTGGATAAAGAGTCCTGGACTGAAGTCATAAAGACATGAGTCTGAATCTTGCCTCAGACACTTATTAATTATGTGAACCCAGACAAGTCACTTAACCTCTAAGCCTAAGTTTCTTCATCTGTTAAATGGAGATGATAATAATAGCACCTAATTCACAAGGTTATTGTGCACATCAAATGAGATAATGTATATAAGATGCTATGTAAATGCTAGCTATTTTAGGTCCATTACTTTTTCCAGCCATTCAAAAGCTTTCCTTCTTCGATATGCTGAAAAGCAATACATATTTCTCTAATATAGGTCTCATTTATGAGATACACAGGAAACTGAGTCACATTTTTAAGAATATGAGCTATTCCCCAACTGATAGATGGTCAGTTTTCAGAGGAAGAAATCAAAGCTATCAATAGCCATGTGAAAAAATATTCTAACGCACTAATCATTTGGTAAAAGCAAATTAAAATAACTCTTAAAGTACCACGTCACAACAAAAAGATTGGCTAAGCTGACAAAAAAAAAAAAGAAAATTACCAATGCTGTGTCAAAATGGTGTGGGAAAACAGGGATTTTTTTTTAAGGCAACTGGGGTTAAGTGACTTGCCCAGGGTCACACAGCTAGTAAGTGTCAAGTGTTTGGTCTGAGGCTGGATTTGAACTCAGGTACTCCTGACTTCAGGGCTGGCGCTCTAACCACTGCACCACCTAGCTGCCCCTGAAAACAGGGACTTTAATGCAGTGATGTAGGAGCCCCAAACTGATTTAACCATTCCAGAAAGCAATCTGGAATTATACCCAAAAAACTATAAAACTGTGCATATCCTTTGACCTAGCAATACTACAAAGGTACATACCCCAAAACAAAAAAAAATGAAAAGGATCCATATATACAAAAATAGTTATAGAATATAATTTTGTAGGTGCAAAAAAACTGGAAACTAAGGCGATACCCATCAATTTGGAAATGGCTAACCATATTATAAGAATGTGATAGAATACTATTGTGCTGTAAGAAATGATGAAAGCGATAGTTTCAGAAAAATATAGGAGACTTGTATGAACTGATGCAAAGTAAAGTGAGCAGAACAAGAAGAACAATTTCTTCTTGACACAATAACAATATTATAAAGATAATCAACTTCAAAAGACTTAGTAACTCTAATCAGCAAAGTGACCAACCACAATTTCAAAGCCCTGCTATCCACCTCCAGATACAGAGCTGACGGCCTCAGAATGCAGACTAAAGCCTATCTCCTTTCCTTTCTTTTGGATATAACTAATGTGGGAATTTGTTTTGCATGACTACACATTTGTAATTGGCTTCATTTTTCTTGCCTTCTCACTGGGTGAGGAAGAGAGAGGAGGGAGAAAGAAAATCCAGAACTTAAAACTGAATTTTAAAACAAAGAAAATCAAGATAAATAAATTGCAGGGATTCTTACACTCAGGTCCGTGAACTTGTTCTTATAATGTTTTGATAACTGTATTTCAATATAATTGGTTTCCTTTCAAAACCATTATTCTAAGAATGGTTTCATAGGCCTCACCAGACTGTCAGAGGGGTCAATGACACCAAAAAGATTAAGGACCCCTTATACAGGAGTTCATTCAACACTTACTACATGCCAGGCACTGTGCTAAGTGCTAGGGATACAAATATAAGCAAGCAAGACAGTTCCCACCCTCAAAGATCTTATATTTTAATGGAGAAATCACATGAGGGAAAGGGGACCACCCCCATACACAAACTATAGAGTAAAGATGGCTGATCACAGCTGTGGAGGCCTGGACCTGAGCAAGAGAAGATCAAAGCAGGCTTATGAAAGCTCACAGTGGTATTCCAATTTTCTGTAGGAGGCAGGGAAGAGTCCGCTTCTGGTTGCTGGGCCTGAGGTGGATGATGATCCAGAAAGGAGCAGAGAAGGAATAGGCAGACAGGCGAGAAGAGAATAAATTATTCTTATCATGATCTTGAAAGGGGTGAGGGGTGGGAGCATCAAAATTACACGATCTCTAGTACAGACTTCCTCTACGTATATTTGATCAGTACTAGCAGCTCTTCTCATCTTTTTTACTTCTTATGTTTTGTTGTTTGAATTTTTATTTTTCTTCATTGTCATTTCTGTATAATCCCCAACTGCACAGAACTCTGTGCAACAGTAAAGCAAAATAAACCAGTATGCAGCAATGCATATCTGTAGCCTGTTGGTAGGGAGTTACACATGCTCCATCATCAGTCCTCTGAAATCAAGATTACTGCATCATCATTTAATTTTGTTTTCCTTTATGCGGTCACCATGTTTCCCTGGGTTTGGCTTTCTTCCTACTGCATCACTTCATACATGTCTTCCCACGTTTCTCTAGAATGTGCTTATTCATAGTATCTTATGTTGCAATAATATTCCATTAAATTCATGTCACATTATTTGTTCAGTTGTTTCAGGATGAATGAGCAACCACTCCCCCACCCCCAGTCCCACCAATGTTTTGCTTCCCTGCACAACAAAAACGCTGCTATTAACATTTTGGGATTTAGGAAGCTTTTCCCTCCTTTGTTTGACCTCCTTGTTTGTTTTCCCTCCTGCATCTGATTTCAAATCATGATTTAAGAAGACGCTGATAAATCTGAGAATGTTCGATGAAGGCAACCAGGATGGCGGAAAAACTTTAAGTTCATTACATGTGAAGATCAGCTGAAGGCACTGGGACCGTCTAACCTGGAGAAGAGAAGACTCAGGACACATGACAGATCTGCTCGATATCTGAAGGACCGCCACAAGGAGGAAGCATCAAATGTACTCTATTTGACCTCAATGAGCTGAACTAGGAGACATGGCCAGATGCCGACAAGAGACACATTTAGGCCGGCTATGAGGAAAAACTTCCTAGAAATGAGAGCCTCCCAAAAACCGAACAGCCTGCCGCGGGCTCTTGCTCCTTTCACTGGATTCCCCCACCCATCAGTGCTCACTGCATTACAGCCCCTTACATTATAAACCACAAGGGATGGGCGTGTACACATGCCCATATGACACCACAAAAAGGTGCTGCCGTGAATACTGTGGCGCTTACTGGGCTAAAGCATGCTTGGGTAGTGAAAGGTTCTCTCCACAGGGCCTGTTAGCTCACTGCCAGGGGCATTCTTTCCCCTGATGCAGACTGCAGCTCACACACGCCCTCCTATTCTACGGGACGTTTATCAGTGTCATCACGTAAGTTTGCAACACGGGCTTCCTCACCACGTCCTCACGAGGATCCCAGTAAAATACAGTGGCTGTCAGCTGGTGATTTCTCAGTCTTGCATGTCATCTTTTTCAATCACACATTTCTTAAATGAAATTCTCACTACTGCTTCTCTGTTTCAATGTGGTATAGCTTGACACACCAACCAGGCACCTATGCATTGTAATTTCTCCAAAAACTTCAATTTCTTTAACATTTAGGAATTTTCAGAGACTGTGGTGTTACATGACACAGCTATATGGTATCATCAGAAGAACACTGGTGTTAAAAAGATGGGCCTTTGTTTCAGGGAGAAACTAGGAGTCACTAAAACAACGTTGCAGTTTCCCAAATGCAGTCCTTCCTGTTCTCCCTCTGCTTGTTCAATTTTGGGACCTAAACAGTGTCCATTTGGAGCATTTTCTTATATAGCATAAGTATACTTCCAACTCTGTCCATCGGAACATCTCCCTCTACATACATATACATACACACACATAAACACATATATACCTACACACAGACACATAGAGAGACATGCTCTCACATACAGACTATATATTTACTAGCATCAAATTGCCTAAAAGATATAAAATCCAAGATCTCACTGTACTTAGTTTATTGACTATACAAAAGCACTGATTTGGTAAAGGAAGATAAAAGTTTAAATTTAAAACTGAACTGAGAACATTAAACCATTTTAGTTGTCTTCATATATCTTCAGCATCTATTTAAATCCTAATTCATTTCCTGATGATATGATTTTTAATTCCTTTTTTTTCTTTTCCAAGGCAATTGGGGTTAAGTGACTGGCCCAGGTCACACAGCTAGTATCATGTGTCAGAGGTCACATTTGAAGTCAGGTCCTCCTGACTCCAGGGCCCGTGCTCTATCCACTGCGCCACCTACCTGCCCCCTGGTGACATGATTTTTAAAGCAAAAATCACTATGTTTATACATTACCCTGGCACCAAGAGGAAAAATCAGTTCATCATTTTATAAATTATTTTAAAAACACTTACCAGAATATGAGGAGATGAGTTTTTCCTAAATAGATCTCTTGCCAAAATTATCTGATATTTTGTAAGGTTGGGTATATCCTGTCGCATCAGAACCTTAACTCTAATCAAGCGATTAGCAAATACTTCTAAAACCTGTAGATTAAAAAAAATTTATATAAAGATGTATTTGCTAAATATAACTTAGACATATTATAACCTCATTTTCATATATGCTCACCAATTTTCTTACTCTAAGGCTGGTTCAATTTAAGTGTGAGATACAATTAAAACAAACATTTAATATTTTCAAGTAAACACAGAAAACAATTAAAGTAGCCATAGAAGTTAAGTACAATAGAAAAGCAGGACAATATTGGTACTAGCATGTTAAACTTATTATATACTAAGAAAAAAAATAACCTCCCACCCTTTGAAGGATGTCCATATGAAGGACATCCCCATCCCTCAATCACCCAGGCTTGCCACCTAGGTGTCATCCTCAACTCCTAACTTTCTCTCACCCCACCCCCTCACATCTAATCATTTGTCAAGTCTTGACATTTCTACCTTTGTAACATCTCCCATATATGTCCCCTTCTCTCCTCTGACTGCCATCACCTTAGTGCAGGCCCTCATCACCTTGACTATCTATTACTTTTGTTTTGTTTTTTTGGCAAGGCATCGGGGTTAAGTGACTTGCCCAGGGTCACACAGCTAGTAAAATGTTAAGTGTCTGAGGCCAGCTTTTAACTCAGATCCTCCCGATGCCAAGGCCAGAGCTCTATCCACTGCACCACCTAGCTGCCCCTTTTGACTATCTATTACAATTCAAGTCTCTTTCCACTCCAATCCACCCTGCACTCAGCTATCAAATTAATCTACCTAAAATGTAGGTCTGACCATGTCAGTCAGCTCCACTGGCTCCCTATCAGCTCCAGGAACAATTATAAAATCTACTACTTGGTGCCCTCCGACCTATCCAGCCTTCTTAAACCTTGCTCCTCCCCACGTACTCGGTAAGCCAGGGACACCGGCCTTCTGGCTCTTCTTGCACAAGACACTCCATCACCAGTCTCCAGTCATTTTCAATAGCTGTCCTCCATGACCAAAACAGCAACTCTCCTCATTTCCACCTATCTTCCCTGGCTTCAAGTACCAGCTAAAATTCCCTATTCTATGGGAAGCCTTTCCTGATTCCTCTTTAATGTGACCTCCTCTGTTGATTATCTCTGAATTATCACACACATAGAGATGTATCTATAATGTGTGCATACACACACATGTGCAATGTGTGTGTATCTTATTCACGCATATTGTTTTCATGCCATGTCCTCATCAGACTGGGCTCTTTAAGAGCATGAACTCTCTCCTGCCTTTCTTCCTGTCCCTGGCATTTAGTACAGTGCGTGGCAGCACAGCAGGAGATCGATAAATGCTTAGTAAGAGATACAATGTCTTCATACCCATTTTCTTTTGTGCTCTTCTTTACCTACGGAAAAGCTGTCATCGAGGCACCTGTACCCCAGAGGCCATAGGCCTTGCACAGGCCCAGGCTCCGTCACACTCTGCCCGTAATGCAGAACGAACGAGGCTTAAAGCCAAGATTCTTTGTGAGCCACATCGATGTCCTCATTCCCTCTCCCATCTTTCACCTCTCCCAGCTCACTCTAAGGATAGAGGAAGACCATCTGCACTGTCTGCTAGCCAGAGTGAGAGGTGGAAGGACGTCGGAAATGGAACCACCACCAACTTCTCTTCCCCTCCCCACCAATGCTCGGCTTCCCTCTACCAGCTTCCAGGTGAAGGAACAAATAGAACCAGCCCAACTCTTTCCATTTGGAAATTGTGAGCCTCTTTCTCCATCAGTAACCCATGACTGCCCCTATGATTTCTCCTGCTTCTCTCCCTATGCCTGTGATAAGTAATCAGTGAACATCTAGGAGGAAACGAATCCCTTCCCCCTCCTCATATTCTCTCATCCCTGTGCCCCTCCAGCCAGCCCCACCCACATCCCACTCCAAATCTTCCCAACCCTTTCACAGTACTTTCTGAAATTCCTGGTTGTGAACACATTTCCCTTTATCCTGGACCTCCTTCTCTCACATTCTTTCCAACTACTGGCCTTTGGTGAGACTTAACTCTCCTAACAATACAGCAGGCCTGGCTTTTCCTTTTCTCAGCTCATCACTCTTACTGGTTCTTTAGGGAGAGTTGGAATATTCTTTGCTCCCCATTGTCACTTCCACATTCATCCTTTGCTTCCTTCACTCAGTAACCTTTCCTCTGTTGAAGACCACACCATTAAAATTTTCTATCCAATCCAATTATCTATGGTAGCTGTAGAATACTGAGACCCCAGGTCCTTCTCCCTCCTTTCTAAAGGGTTCAGTACTTGGCTCAACACCTTCCTCTCCTCCCCAATCTACATAAAAACTCCCTCAAAACCCAATGGAGTTGGGGCAGCTAGGTGGCACAGTGGATAGAGCTCCAGCCTTGGAGTCAGGAGGACCTGAGTTTAAAGCTGGCCTCAGACACTTAATCCTGATTGCCTCACCAAAAAAAAAAATCCAATGAAGTTAAAATCAGAAAGATGACAAAGAAGGAAAATAGGAAAACAACAATTGTTGGAGGGGTTGCAACAGTGCAGGCACATTAATGTACGGATGGGCTAAGAAATTCCAGCCTCTCTAGAAGTTTGACCTCTACCCCAAAAAGTCCCTAAAATACACATACATACATACACACACACATACCAGTACTAATCAAAGACAGGGGAAAAGGACAAAAATATGCTACAGCGACATTTTTTTGTCTTAGCAAAGTACTGGAGACAAAGTGGATGCCCACCAGTTTGGAAATGGCTAAATAAATCATGGTATCTGAGCATAATGGAATATTATTATGTTATGAGAAATAACAAATATGAATTCAGAGAAACCCAGGAAGATTTATATGAACTGATGCTGAGTGCAGTAAGTAGCAGGACAACAATTTCCATGACAACAATAAATATATTTCAAAAGTGTTTTCATTTACACTAGAAATCTGATCAATATAATGACCAGTCATGACTTTAGAAGACTGAAGCACACCTCTCACATTTTGGCAAGAGAGAGAACAATGAGAATTAGAGGACTAAGGTATAAATACAGTCGACATAGTTAATATGTTGATTTTCTTTTTTTGCTTGATCATGCTTATCTTTTACAAGGTAGGGCCTCTATGAGGGAATAGGGAAGTGAATTAGTGAAAAGTGACAGAGATTAGACAGAAGGAAACAAAAAGTTCAGAAAGACAAAAAATAAGCAATGTTATTTTGTTAAATTTAATAAGCACTTAAAAAAACAAAGTACACAATGAGAAGCTCATGATTTCATATATAATCCTTTTTACGTTCTTTGTATATTGGGATGTGTTTGTTAATCATTTTTAAATCCTTAACAAAAAAAAAATTTTCAAAGCTCAACAGTGAACGAAAAGCCAGTGAAGATGCCACATAACAGAAATTTAGGAGTTTCACAGCCACAAAGAAACCACTTACCTGTATATATGTGTTCTGGATTGTTACAAGTTCTTCTCCAAGGGGAACAAGCAGTTTTTCAATTTGTCTTTCATGAGTGAAGGGCAAAATATCTGACGAGTCTTCAGAACGAAGCTCTATCTGCCCAATTAGTAGATTTGAAACAACCTGCTGTACAGCCTATACAGTGTTAACAAAAAAAATCAAAAGTCATGAGACGTGCACTGAAACTGGATCTACAATAAAAGAGATGAACACGCATGTGGAACAACTACACCAAGTATAAAAGAGTTCACAATGCAGGCAGAAGCTCACATACTAATGAGCTGCAACAAAGTGGGGAGAAGTGAAGGACAACCCCCTCCCAAATAGGTGTGACAAAAGAGGAGGAAGGGTAGGGGTAGGGAAAAGATTAATTCCTCTGCTGAAGGGGAGAAGAAAGGTGGAAAAAAAGGAGAGGGAACATAAGTAAGGAGGATGGCAAAAGCAGCAATCTTTTCCCTTGGGAACTG